CCACCTGTTCCCCATTACCTGGTGTATTTATTGTCCTCGTCTCCCTTTGTCCTGTGCCAGTTCGTTTCGTTCCTTGTGACTACCACCAGCATTAGCAATCCAGGATTAACCCCAAGCAGAGCTTTGAGCCACGTCTTGTTAAGTATTTTGTTGTTCATGCTCCTAGTGTTTTCCTCTTTAAGAGTGATTTGTTTTGTACCACTATCGTTGAGCTTTGGTTTGAATAAAACCTTTTTTTTGTTAAATTCTGTGAGTTGTGCATTTGAGTTCATACCCGTTTAATCAGTCGTAACAGCCGGTTATATTTCCAAAATGGACAAAAGAAAGAGACTCATGAACGTACAGGAGGCACTAGCGTTGCTAAACTGTCTGAGCGAAGCAGAGTCTGATGGTGGGGAAGTATCAGGACTGAGTGATGTGTGCTGGGTTTGTTCTTCCTCTGATGGGTCATCTGACAGCGATCCTGAGCCTCCGCGGAACGTGAGGCCGTCCCATCCTGATCCCCCGCTTGCAGATGGGCCTACTGTACCAGCCCATGCAGAAGGTATGATGATTCTTGTTTTTTATTTCCTACTTTTCTACAAATCGTAGGCTATAAGATATCAAGGCATATAGATAATGCCTTTTCTTTTTACAGGGTATATGCAGGAATCCTGAGGTCAAATTTAATACCTTTCAAGACCTTTTTTAAGACCCTTTCCATACATTTTAAGACCTCATCGCAACTTTGAGTTCTAACCGGTTACATTGGCGACACACTTTACCTTACATTTCCTATATTGATTGTAAGATAGCAAAACTAAACAGAGTGCAGACAGACTACTGAAGCCTCCTCTCCACATGAACTTCAACCTCTCTGTGAAGGTCAGGTTTAATGCAGTATGCTGCTTTTTTGCTTCTGTAGACTCTGTGCTCTTTCATTCCAATAAAACTCCTCAGAAACCATTAGAAACCAGTATTTGACCAATAAACAAAACAATTGACAAAACTATGAAATATATTAAACTTTGGTGAGCTTCAGCGGGGTAATGCCATATAGGATCTCCCTCACAAATACCCAGGGGTATGCATGGGGCCGCCTTGAGGGGGTTTCCCGACATGTCGTTTCAGTAAATTAAAGGGTGTTTCATGTTGTCGTTGCTGTGGACCTTCTTAATACCTTGGAAAATGCCGTTTAATACTTTTTAATAGCCTTAATTTTCGCTAAATTGATTTATCAACTTGTAATACTTTTTAAGACCCCACGGACACCCTGTTAATGCTAGCTGTGCAGGAAGGCCCCCCCCACCTTCAGTACCACAAACATTAAAGCCAGGGGTCTGAGGAGCACCCACCTGCTTGGCCAGAGCGCAGGCCTGCTCGGGCGAGTTGAGGATTTCGTAGTAGAACACGGAGAAGTTGAGGGCCAGGCCCAGCCGGATGGGGTGTGTGGGCTGCATGTCCTTCTTGCTGATGTCGAAGGCGTTCTGGTAGGCCTCCTGAGAGCTGTCCACCGTGTCTGCACAGAACACCACATCAGCTTCACTCTATGATCTCAAGTCATCACAACTGTCCCTACAAAACACTTTTCTGCAGGAGCATGAATGTAAACAATAGTAAACAAAAGATGTCTTGGTCGATTTGGACAATTTTGGAGTGTATTGGGGGTTATTGAGGATGCTGAATCCATTTCTGACCATTCCAGGATCAAAAATGGCAGTATTAACCAGAAAGTGGCCATATATATGTACTCTGTGGGCTGATTTGAACTACAATGAGAATTGTTGCGACCATTGGATATAGAGAGCACAAGATGACAATTATTATCTCTACTGTGGACAATTTTCAAATAAATAGGCAAACTGTCCAATCCAAATGATCCAGAGTCTCCTAAATCTTCCAAATCGACCCAAAATGTATGAAAATCAGCCCACCGAGAGTATAAATATCGGCATTTTCTTTAAAAGACCAATATACTACAGAAATAGACATATTATAGTAGCAGAAACATATATACACATAATCTATAGTGGTTAAAAAAATAAAAAAAGGTATCCTAATACCAAGATGACATTATATACTGGGCAACTATAGGAATATGTGCACCATTAGAGATTCTGCAATACTGATTTGAGCAGACATGGAAGAGGACAGAGACATATTAAAATCAGTATAATCTGTCCAGTTATTTGTCAGCTTTTTGAAAATAAAATAGGAGAAAGACCTACAGTAAAAGTATTTTATTTATTTTGTTAGGGTTTAAAATATAAAATAGTATAAATTAAATATTGCACTTCGTGAAGTCAGGCCAGTATTTATTTATATCTGAACCTGGAACAATTACAATTATTGTTCACCGGCACCATAAAGCTGCCATTTAGATTTTCAGAGTATTTTATTAATAAAAAAAAAAATAAGGAAGGGATGGTTATTTTAAATCGGAATAACATTTTCTGCACCGCGATATACAGCGTAACCTTATATAAAATGACAAGTCCTGTGATTTCAGATTTTGAAGTACTTTAGGAACATGTTCCAAGTGAAGCATGAGGTTTGTATAAATGGAGCTCCTAGCTCTAGCTAATAAAAAAGCCACTTTACGGCGAGCAATAAAACGAGTTACCTTGGTTTGTTTATTAAAAAGGAAATATTTACTTTCAGCAACACAGCAACTGACTTTAGCCATAAAAAAGGACTGGTGAGAAATCCTCCTTTAACTGGTTTAAACTTTAACTGTAGCTCAAAGGAGTCTCCTAAATGATGATAAGTGCTCCGATAAAACATTGCTATGTTGCTGACAAAACTAAAGTAATAGAACAATGAGAAAGGCTTTTTATTAGTTACAAACACTCACTCTTCTTTGAGTCCCCAGAGGCCACCTCTGACAGGTATCTGAAGTAGTCTCCTTTCATTTTGAGGTAGAACACCTTGCTCTCCGCCGTAGTTGCATTTGCAATGAGGAATTTTTCGAGCAGATCCTGAAACAGAAGAGAGGACCAGAAGGGTTTATGAGCAGAAATATAAAGAACAGGGCAGCAGATTCTGTGTTTACACAGCAGAGTCACACAGAGCAGCCTGCCAGTGTACCAGTCAATGGGCAACTGGGTTACAGACGGTGTTACTAATACATGTCAGGCCCTTCCTACAGGTTTAACCATACACTGACACGTGCACTTTGCAGGCACAATCGCCTCACAGAGAATGGGGGTCAGGTCAGATCCATGGATGTATAAAGAGAACCGAATACAAAGTTGGAGGCGGGACCCCGTTCATCCTTCGAGAGACGCTTGGTGGCACATGAAGCCAAAATGGCCTGACACGAGCAAAAACACCCTCAGATCACAGTGTGCGAAAAAGTACACGTCCCACCGTCCGGGACGTGTTATTTACAATACTGGACAAGTAGATCTTTCAATTGACTTGTCGGGCGGACAAGTGACGTTTTTCGCCCTGATTTATTGACAAAT